TACAGTACAATTGAATTGTGAATTAATGGCCACCAGACAGCCATATTGGAGACTTGATAGAAGCCTATAATGGTATAATTATGAAATCCAAGAAAATAACACCACAAAACACAGCGAACAATTTAAATAGAGTACAGAATCTACACATGTAAAGAATTGACTGTATTTCTTAAACAAAACAAATCTATGCCTGTTGTGAATGGCATAATTTTTCTTCTGTTCAAATGTTGGTTTGGTTTAAATTTTTTTTTTTAATTAATTTTCTATATTCACCTTAAAACAAAAACAAAAACGCACCTTAAACCAAAAATAAAATGTGCTATGATCTCACCTCACCTGAAACAGTGGCTGTTGTCACCAACTGTTGCGTTGTCTGCGTCGTTGTAGTTGATTGTGAAACTCCCACATTAGCCAATGATTCAGGCCAAAACCTTTGAGTTGGCCGTGATTGGTTTTTATTCTTCTTAGCTTTAGGAGCTGGTTCAGGGTTACTAGCGTCCAACATTGGTTGAAGAATTCTCCGCCTTGCATTTATAAACCTGTGATTGAAAATGAATGATAACATGATCAATATCACAAATTTCCATGTTCCCATATTTGGGCATTGAATAGACAAGTTTTGAGTTATAGCACCATTAGTCAGTTTCTGTCTTAGAATGAGCTGATTGATTTCTAAGCTTTGGCAATTTTTCGCTGGTTTCCATGGTTACAAGCACTCTGATGTACCATTGGCTGTTTACACAGCGAAATCAACCCTCCTATGCAGATGAAATCGGGATGGTTTACAACAGAGCATGCATGTAAAAGTAGTAATAAAACTAACAACTTGTCTATTACTGAATTATTGTTGATTGGCATAAAAAACTAGAAAATATTTGAAGCTAACAACTCAAAGGACCTGTAGAAAAATAAAGAATGTTTTGTGTCTTGATAGGTGTTCAAATACTAGGTCATGTTTGTTATAAATACGAGACTCACCAATTGTTGACTTGTAATAATGATAAATTCGTTTGTGATGCAATTTGTCTTTTTTCATCTTCAGTGGGATACGGATGCTGAAATACAGAAACATAGTTAGATGACAATTAAATTTTAAACATCCAATCATGGAGCGCCAAGACAATGATCATTTTAGGAAATACCCTCTGATACTTGTAGAGGACTGCATAGTTTCTTCAATGATTTGCCTAACTCTGGTCAATTCCGGCGGCTGTAGCA